CCCCCCCCTTGGATTACGTATGAAGCGTGGTTAATCTAATGTGGGTTTGCAGTCTCTTCTCAGATATGTCAAATTATTCATGCATCGGACCTCTAAGGTTCATACGTCGCCAATGCTGAACGCTGGTTCGATGCTCGTTAGAGTTTCCGATTATCTATTCCCTGGTTTTTTACTCGTAAACGCCACTGCTGTCTACTGTTTTACAGACCCACCACGAAGCATACGGTTTAGCCCTTGAAGTTATTCTACCTGGCAAAATCAGGTGTGTGAGAGAAATGAAGACGATGACAGTGTATAGTCTGCTAGGTATTGACCGACCATGATGATGGAGGTAGTAAGTTCCTCCGAAACGAAGGTATCTACCGGACTGCACGGTGCAGCATCCCAGACAACGATATTCCGGCAAAAGAAATTCCTGGTTTTATGAAACTCGAGTATTCATTACCGTATTCCCAATACCTTCTTTAGTCCGTTTTAATATTATTCTTTCGTATATGAAATACACAATGATGCCGATATCGAGTCGTGTAGTGTTTGAATTCCACGTCATTTAATTTAGCGATGCTGTCCACATTTGGTTGGGTGTCGTCGAATGAGGAGATGGTGAAATGCACGTAAGGCCTTAGAAGGTTACGTTCGTGGCCTATTACAGGGAAGTAACACCGTCGTTCGTCTGCAGAGACTGTGAGGTCAACCACCAAAGAACTTGCAGTGTTAAATAAAGTGAAAACGTGGCCATGTGTGAGTAATAAAGTTATATTTAACGCCGTAAACAGGTCGTGGTATTGCACCAACGCTCCCAGTTTGCTGTGCTCTCGACGTTCTGTCCGTTAATTCACCTTGTGCTAAGGCACGTAGCGTATCTGTTTTACAGCTAATGGCCTTCGGAACTCCCTCTTAGATGTGGTTAGACCAAAACTACGCGTAGTGAAGACCGGAGACTGTGGGGGTCGCAGACATTACAGGGAGGAAACACGTGAACCTCGCCCCAGAATTCCTTCCTGGTGGCTCTACTAATGTCTTGCCCGTGGTGTAGTCACGCCTTGAGCTGTGTGTTCGTGACACAACAGAGTGCTAAGTGTACTGCAAGGGAAATAGTAATTAAAGTCTGTACTGAGTTGCTGTGGGCGATTCGAGAACAATCTCTGTTCCACTCATTTGGCAGACTGTTCCGCTTATCCGTACGTACGCATTTAACAACTCGAAATGGCTGAACCCGAGTATTTTCATATTTGGCGGTTTTTACTAAAATTTGGCAGCGCGTTCCACTTTTGGTTAAATTCGGGCAACATTTAACAGCTGCATGCATTTCTGCGCGCAGAAGTGGATTTAACCTTCAGGGCTGTCTTGGTTACCGTGGTCGCCCATGTCAAAGGGCAATTTCTGACGAACGAAAGCGGGTGGGGATTTCCGATGCCCTGAAAATTATGAATAAAAATCCCGTACTTGAAATGTTTCCTTGTGAGAGTCACAAAAGCGAAAGTTTCCTGTCGCGGTTAGACAGGCCTAATGTAGATTAATTATCTGTCATGTGTCTCTGCTTTGGACGATTATCCAGAAAGTTCTTTTGTTATCCCTCACGCGTTGTCGCCTGGAAGACAGTAGTCGCTTCAACACACACCTACGTGGGGGGGGGGGGGGGGGACAAAGGCGTCGTTCGTATTTGTATTGATTCGTCCTGTCTGCAGGAAAGCATGAGACCAGCAAAGCCATTATTTCTAGCGTGGATACCAGCAAAGTTAATGAAAAATCAGTCACAAGAGTATTTGTTCTATTACAGAAGCATCTCCGTGACTGAGGATCTAATTAAGAGATTGATAATTATTCATCTCGTCAAGAAATTTCAGTATTTATGGAACCCGATAATTCATTGCTGTTGTTTACAAAGTCTCCCTCCCTCATTTAGCCCCCCCCCCCCATCTCGCCTCTTGAGATTTCCAGATCAAAATTGTTAAAACATTTATAGTTTCTACCATGCATTGTCGCCTTTTGTGAAACCCAAAGTTTACAGCCTTCGACCTCTTAAACCTGTCAGATGAATTAAGGTCTATTCCTCCTCACGCTGTTTAAGATCCGTCACTTGTTCTTGTGTATTCATGTCGCCTGAGACGTTAAGGACGGGCCAGATTATGAACCCGCAACCACCGATCTCTAAATACGGCACAGACGGACTTTTGTAACGCGGGCACGGGCTAACTGTAAGTAACCTCGGGCCGGATCTACTGTTCTCGTCCCGGCAGCGGGCCTTGATATGACATATCAAGTACGTTATCACCAGTGGCTGAAAGAATTAAGTCTGAAGTCGAGGCAAATGGTTTCGATCGGTTAAAAATATTGATATATAAACGTTTAAACCACACAAAACACCTTGATATTGCAAACATAAAATAAATTGAATTATGTGTTTAAGAAATTTTAGTGCTTTATGCGGGCCTGATTAAAAAAAAAAGGTTACGACTTGCCCAAACAAACAAACAAACTTTTGTGCGTTGGCGTGATAGAAAGTTAGTGCTCTATAAAGGCAGTTCGCAACCTCTCGTGGTTAAAAGCCGATAAACTCGCCACGCGTTCGAATAAAACTGCTTTGCCCTTCACTGGACTAATTCTGTGTACGTAGCAAATTTCTTTTTCGATATTCAAAATGCCCTGCTCTGATAACACTGTGAATAACATGTGGCAATTTTTTTTTCCTCGATTGAGAAGCTGATAGTCGTTCAGCTGGCCATGAAATAATCCGCTTTATTATAGAACCGCAGTGTTCATTACCGTGTACACAAGAGCGCTCCACCGGACTCTGCCCTGAGCTGGACAAATCCTCACACCCAGCTTCTTTACAGTTCACTTTAATATTGTCATCCCGTCTACACCCAGGGTTTCGGAAGCGGTGTCGTCCATGAAAGCTTTCGAACTAAAATTTCATGTGCATTTTTCATTTCCTCAGTGCGCGCTAGAAACATTTTCTGAAAAGTACAATTTTCAATTCATCGCTAATTATGTAATACTGTGTATCCTATTATTATGTTACTTCCTTTCCCTGAGGACACCATACGTACATGTTATGTAATAGATCCGTAATTAAGCTGTGTTTTCGTTATGAAACCTTTACAAACAAAATCTTGTGTTTTGTTTCGTTACTGCCAAACATTTCAGAACACACGCAAACCCGTAGATTCCTCCCTAAAATGGCACTAATTTTCTTTGCTACTCTCTTGTTTCACGCTTGCGCAGTGTTTCATTAGATTTTGTTCCTAATCGTCTTCGAACCCTTTTTCGGAAACCCGTAATTTATAACGCCAGGGTTGCAGTTATTTCCTTAAACAGAATTAACCAGTTGATGTTTGAAATGGTGAAGTGAAGTGTTTTCTTCGCGGTACGGACCGAATTCCTAAATATTGTTTAGACGGGACTGCTGGCTAGAAGTCAGCAGCACGCATCCGGAAGGTCCTGCGACCGGCCAACTCGACCAAGGTTTTCCGTGGTTTTCCTCGGTACTAGAGCAAATGCTGAGTTGGTACCCAATTTCCACGTTGCTCTGCATGCCTCCCATGCAGCCCTCTCAGAGTAATATCAAAATTCCGCTCTATAGTAGCCCCCCCCAAAATTAACGTAAATTATTCCTAACGCCACCCCCAAGGCCAATATCAAAATTCAAAATTAACGCAAAGGCCCGAATCAACTCCCCCCTACCCTATTTCTTACCCTATCCTGTCTCCTAAATCCCTTGTCCTCACTAAACTTATTCATACCAGAAGGACGAGCGGGCGCTGCCTGGGAACCTTCGTAGCCCACAACCAACTTTATACCCCTCCACCATTTATAACAGTAGTGCCTATCGCTAATCCCCCCACTTTCTCTTCTCTCTCTCTCTTTTTTGGCCTCAGAGGGTTAAACGTCGTACCTAAAGAGTCCCACATGGCAGTCAATATTGATCCCCAAGGACACCTCGCCCCTCGGAAAATCCGCTTACGAAGCTCAAAACCGTTGGAGGATAAAGGAACAAATGTGTGCGCATGGTACAGGCAGCTGCTGGTTGTTAAGCTGTTCATGAACGGAACTTGTTCACTGTGGGCCAGTTTAATCCACGCACATACATGCTGCGTGTAGGATATCGGTTTTAATATTACACTCACAGCTATGGGAGTTGGTGAAAATGGAGGACCATTGAGTGATGTTTTTAATCTTATATAAAAGCTTTGCGTTGCGTAACTTGATGGTTATTGCCTTCAGCACACTTCATTAACATCTTAAAACACGTGTTTTCGGAATCAAAATAACCTCTTCAGGCGTGCCAGTGATAAATCGGATGTTGTAAGATTTTGAACCACATCAAGATTGACACGAGTGGGATATGTAGCACGCATTGGGCGATAAAAATTTTGATTGGGAATCCGAAAGGGAAAAGACCACTCGAGAAGATTTAGGCGTAGTTGTGAGGATGGTTTAAAATGGATCTTAGGGAAATATTGTGGGCAGGTGTGGCCTGGATTCATCTGGCTCAGGATATGGACCGGTGGCGGGCTTTTGTGAACACGGTAATGAACCTTCGGGTTCAATGAAGGCGAGAACTATCTTGTTAGATTGGCATCTGTTATCTTCCCCCCCCAAAAAAAAACTGCCTATGCGGTATGTTGCACAGTTTAGCTCCGGAAATTTTGATTTTGAAAAATTTTGTCCAGAACTTTGAAGCGGGTTCGGGCGCTTGGACAACGCTCGGTTGCCACGTGGACAAGTTTCTGTTCGACCTTTTCGAAAGACGTTTATTAACTTAGAATGAATATACGGCTGATCCAGTTTGTAAGCGGGAAGCGATGCGTATTGGTTTTGTGGCAGAATCGTATGGGATAACGAACTGTTAAAAAATATGACTGTGTTGTCGAACACGGAGTTCATCGTCGTCTTCACAAAAGCCTCTCTGTGGACCCTAAGCTGTTCGTTTTCACATGTTCACAGAATTTTATCTAAAATTAATCTTATTATTTTGCTCCCCTGTATCTCCCAGATGGAATCTTCCCTTGAGGTTTGAATTTCTTGTTCAATACTAGTTTAAATGTAATTTCAAACGAGTTAAGACTTTTGTGGCTCTTAAACAGTACGTGTGTGTATAAAATAAATGCAATACTCCATAAAGACGCACACAATTGTTCACGTACACAGAACACAGTTTCACTGCACAAAGCACTTAACTTGAGAGACTGGTTGCCACTGACTGAAGGATGGAATGAGGCCTTGGGGGGACTTGCGCCGAGCTTCGGCGGGTGTTGGGAGGGGGGGCTGGCTCCGGCAGAGAGGATAGACGGACAGACGGACGGTCTTCGTGAAGTGATGGTATGAGTAACCGTTAACTTCTTGTTCGTATGCTTTTGTTTCTACGCGTTAACGCTGTGTAGTCGAACCAAATCTGAATCATATTTAAGAATTCAGTCCGTACCGCTAAGAAAACACAGGACTTGACCATTACGCAGATCAACAGGTTAACGCTGATTAAGAAAATAATCGCCTTTTATTCCGAGAATCGTATGAAACCCTTAAATACAAAAATTAAGAGTTACTGATTGTTGAAGCAAGTTTGCTTTAAAACGTTGAACGTTCGTATTAGCTCGTGTTCAGTGTGTACCTGGTGTAAAGCAGCCGGAGAGTGAAGGTATAACCACTCACCAACCATCCTATGCTCAGATTAAACAGTACAGAATGTTTGAGAGTCATAAGAGCCCGGTCTTGAAAACCTGGAAACTGTTTCTTTCGTGTTTGATATTCAGCCCGATTTACATTTTCCGCAAGTGTCGGTAATTCTGCGTGAAATTCTGGCACGTCTGTGATTTCTTCAGGTCCAAAGATCATAGTTCGCTTGTATCTCAGATCAGCAAATTTCGTCAGTCCCCCCTTCTCTCTCCCTCTCTGTCTGCGTTCCTTGTTTCAAAAGGAAAGTGTAATTAGCAGATCGAGTCCTTTGGAATAACCAGTTAGTTTCCATGAGACTTGGTGTGGACGCCAAGAAGTTGAAGCTGCCTTTCTGGTACCAGAATCCGGAAGTTAATTCCCTTTAATACCAAATCCTACAACCTGTCATCCACCTACCTTAACCAGTTCCATAAATATCTCATCTTCACAGGCTATCTCCCTTAATTGTCTTACTGCTATGCTCCAGTCTCCTTCGTGGTCTTCCAAATGGTCGTTTTCCAAGAGACTTTCCCCCCCACCCCCAACATTACTGCATGCGTTCCTTATTTACGACATCTCGCCACACGCCAAGCTCAGATTTCATGGATCTCGTGATCCTAAGGATAATCCGTCATGTGTGATCCTGAATTGCGCAAATTCTATTCAAACGGCGTGAAAATTTTTGAATGAGGATGATGGCATGTGGTTTTTGTTTAAATTTTTCCCTTTTCACGTTTCAAAATATTGGCATAAAACACGTGTTCCACGCCAGAAATAATTAAGTTTACAACCGAGTGTGGTTGACCTGTTCTGTCATTGGTTCTAAGTGTGAGCGCGTGGATATCATTCACGTATTATTATGGCTTTGGGTAGGACCTAGCAAAAGAAATGTTTGTTATGTAGACTCTGTCTGAAACTGGAGTCGAAACGTTTATTTACTCTGTCGGGAGTTACAGTTCTTTGTAGTGCATTCCTTGCGGTTTTAAGTGCCTCGTTGGACTACTGCTGATGCAGAGAACTTTTTTGCGAAACTTACAAACAACAGTGACATTGCAGTGTGTTGACAGACAGAGTAGTCCCCCATTTGCTTCGCCAAGTTGTGTACATCTGAAACGTTATCTGTTGTTGTTTTACTGACAAGCCATTTTTGGACGCTTTAGCAACTATAAGCTGTCACGATGTATCTGCCTGCTTAGGAAAGCTGTAAATTTTATATTGTGGAGTCTTGTCAAAATTTGTCGAAACGTCTCAATTTTGGTTTAAGTTCAGACAAGAGTGACAACGGTCACTTTACATGAGGGACCCCCCCCCCTTTTCGAAAGTGACTACTTAAGGATAAATCCACATGGGGAACACTCGGCCATTCACAGAAGTCAAATTCTGTCACCAAAATTGTTACGTTATGCGTACATTTCCTAGCTTGTTTATTAAATATGAAATATTTCATTTCAGCTTAATGTAAATTAGACTTGTTTCTAAAACGATACCAAAATCGAAATACGAACTTGCAGAGTCTTAACAGGGATCCCCCGTGCAAAAAAAAAAAAAAAGGTTTACAAAGTTTTGTAGCTGGGGACGAGGGATGGTATCTCCGGGAGGTTGAGGGTTCGGTGCCAAGATCAAGTCGTCCCCCTGGAATACACGCGCGATGAGACCTCGGGGACAAAAATCACGGAAGAGACCAATTACGAGGGTCGAGCTGTGGAAGGGAAGCTGAAGGGGGCGAGCCTCTCGTCATGACTGCATTACGCAAATCGAGATACGTTAACATGTACACTGCCAGAAACGATCACTGCAGCTCAGGGAAGCCACCACGACGACGTTCGCAGACCAAAAAAAAGAGAGTAAATGTTGAAAATGCCCTTGATGAAACACGTCTGTTCTCACAGTCGAAACCCCTCATGTGCGCGTCTATTTAGCAACGATTTTAAGCCCACGGGTTTCACCCTATGGGGTGATCGCCCTTATGATGGAGGCAGTAGCACCTGTTAGACGTCGGTAGACTTCTACCATACTGCACGGCGCTAGATCGCAGAAGACAGCCAGCCATCTTCAAACTCGACGCCGGATCAATCTTAAACCTCAGTCACATCGGACACATTTTATATGCACGGGGGAGCCACAGTGAAATACGTGTCTTCTTCAGGGTCTTCGTTCGTTTTAGTAACTGCGCGGTTTTTTTTTATTGTTTTTTCTTTTTCTTCTTCCAAATAATTTAATTTTCTGGTGACTGTGAAAGTAGACCGATTGTGGCAGTAACACTTTTCCTCAGTCGGGATGCTTACGTCACGACCTGGTATTTGAAGACGTCACCGGAAGTGGAACAAACATGTAAAGTGTCTGATTACAGTAATTCTGCGTTGAGGACAAGACGAAGGAAGTTACAAAAGTGTAATGTCCATGTTATTAGTTGTTTCTTTACATTTGTTATATAAGCTTCCCGAAAAATTTATGGTCTGCGTGTCAGTGGCGTATCGCCAGAGTCCTACATTTTCGCTGTGGGCTGGTAGACCGGGGTACGAACAAGGACCCCTTTTTTCCGCCAGTACCCGTTCTCTCTCTCTCTCTCCGGGTGCAGCATGGTCAGAGCCTGAAACTGACCACTTACGTCCATCTAGCGCCGGAGTTAAGAATGCATGGACCTGTTCCTCCACTTCTATGCGTCTTCATTGCGTGGTGCGTCGTTAAGTAGAGGGATATAATGGGTGAACTGCTTGGCTTCTGCATTACTTGAAGACTTACCATTCTCACTCTCGCCAATGTCGAAACAGGAAAACATATGTTGAGCCAAGTGTCATGACGTGGCATTTCCTGTCTAGTCCCTTCTGTTCATCTTCCCGTATCATCAGTATTCTGTGACCTCAGATATCGGCTTGTCCGCACACAAGTATTGGTGACCCCTGATAACTGGTTAATTAGTGAAAGGTTGTTCTCGTGATAATTGGGTTTGTCCAGCTGATGAGAGTCTGCAGATAGTTCTTTCTACAGTGCGCACTTACCATCGGGCGGTCCAACAAGCTCCCTCTACATTAGATCTTCGAAATCACGCAGTGGATTTAAATTTGGTAGCAATCTACGGGAGATTTCGATTCCTGTCACAAAATAATAAGCGTGTTTTACTGGAAGTTTCCAAATAAAACGTCGTCATCCCTCTTTTAATCTGTTTGCGGGTCTCGATCAACAGGTTGATGACTCATTGCCGTGTTCAACACAAAAGCAACTAATTCCCGTCAGCTTCAACGGGTTCATAACTACGCTATTAACGCGTGTAGAACATTTGTTTGTCTGTGGCCAGACTCAGTTTGACCGCCCCTGCGTCAAATCCTTTGTTTCCTGACCTACAATTCGAGATGCTTCTGAAGCCAGGTAACCATAGCAACAAACAGGACGTAATTCAACGGCGATAAGAATTCAAGCAAAGTAGTTGGAAGTACAGAAACAGTCAAAATGTAATACGCCAGTTCGAGAGTAATTTAACAACGGTCTCAGTTTCGGAATGCGCGCGGCGTTGACTGAGATCGGGAGGATAATAGTGGAAATGAACGGATTGAAAATGATGCTTGCCTTTTCATAAGGACCGTCCCGTTATACTGCAATCTTTCAGCAAAGGATTCTGACAGTGCACTGAGGTGAAGAGTGTCGAGTCCCCTTTGCTTAGCCACGAAATAATATTTAAGAATTCAGTCCGTACCGCTAAGAAAACACAGGACTTGACCATTACGCAGATCAAATGGTTAACGGTGATTAAGAAAATAATCGCCTTTTATTCCTAGAATCGTACGAAACCCATAAATACGAAATTCAGGGATTGTGCGTGCGCTTTAAAGGGTCAAATCCTGTAGGATTGGGTGTCGTGAACAGCAGAGTCCCTGTTAGAAATCCAGGAGGAAAGGACGAGGAAGAAACGTAGTAAATGACTTCTGTATTTTTCTCTTCGCGAGATCGCGTCCAGGTCCCCATTTAGCCTCGTATCCAGTGGGTACCAAAAGCTGTTTCTGTGGTTATTGAATGGTGCTTGGGCACAGGGCAACTGCACACACACACACAAGGCTTGGCCTATATCCAGCGATTTTAGTCCTGGAGGGTTGTTGAGTGCTCGCACATTCCCACAGCTGATCGCAAGGTACATCCTGCCTACAACCCTCCCCTCGTAAACCGCACTTACACTCATAGCCAAAAGCATTGTTTGCCGCTCTGTGTCAGTGTTGTGGGTTTTAATGCCGAGTGTGATCGTCGTAGCCTTTCTGAGGGGACATACTGCCTCCATCCTAACAGACGAGGTTTTTGGTTCCAGCCGAGAGTCTAGGCAGATACTTCGTGCGGTTAGCAAGTCTTTCAGGTATCTGATGGGACTCAAGAAGACAAAAAACACACAAATTTCGAGCCGAATTTTTTGGGATAAAATAGGAGATGCATCCACCATTTTCCTATTTTCATTAACTTTGAGCAAAGGTTTCGATCCGTCACTCGTATCAAGATTAATGGAGATTAACAAGCCATACCATTCACAGAATCTTCTGTCTCAGGAAGCATAAACGTAGATGGGAGTATAATA